GCTCAGATCAGGCCTCTGCTGATCCTGATGGATGCCTCCTCCCCGGTCCTCCTCAGAAACTTGTGCTAAGAGCTAGAGCCATCCCATGGCCAGAAGATGGAGGCACTGGGATTTAGACACAATATACATGTTTACACTGATATGTCTCTGTCTAGTTTTCAAACCATCTGACTGTGAATTCATCAGACAGTGCATATGGACTCTAATTCACCCATGATCCCAGAACCCAGCACTCGCACTGAGTAATACATGTTTATTATTTGTGTATAATATTAATATTTATTGATAAAGAAATGCTTAGTTTATGAATGAATGAGTGGAAGAATTGTGATAAGATAGGTGGATGGGTCAATGAGGGAGATGGGTAATGGAAAAGAGGTGAGAATGATTACTTGATGTTTATGTATGTGGATAACAAGAAATATAATATAAGATGAATGCATGATGAATGAGGAATGCAGAATGATGGATGGGTAAATTACTAAGTGGATAGATGGTTGGTGGGAGATGAATGGATCAGGAGGTGGATTAATGGATGAATGATGGATGCAATGGCAGGATGTGTGTGTGGATGGATGGTGTATAGATAATGGTGAACAGGTACTGGAAGCATGGTAGACGGTGGTGCTACATGGTGGACGAATGGAAGATGGTGGATGGTGAATGCATCTATGTAATGGTAGTTCATTAAGTGATGATAAACAGATAAACAGACTGTAGATTGATAGATAAAGGTTAGGTGGATGTGGACACTAAATTGAAAGATTGATGGATACTGAAATAATCTGTAGATACTGGGTGCATAGGTAACAGGTGGTAGATGGTGGATGCATGCTGGGTGAATGAATCATGGAAGTATGGAGGGATGGTGGGTAAATAATAAGTAGATGCTTGTGAAGAATATGTCCATAAAGAACGGATGGCTAGACAGTAGATAAATGTGAACAGATAGATGATCGACGGATGGATCATGAATGGTGGACAAGTACATGGTGGCTGGATGGTGCACAAATGGCAAATAAATGGGTGATTGCTAGGTCAGTGGGTAATGTTTTGTGTACTGGGGAAATGTAGATGGAAGGTGGATGGAGGATAGATAATGAATAGATGGGTTCTGGATGGATAGATGGTGATTAGGTGATGAATGGTTGATGGCTAAATGATAAATGGCTACACCTTGGAATATGGATGCATAAAAGATGAATGGTGGATGGGAAGATGGTGGATGGATGGTAGGTAGTGAATGTGTATTGCAAATGGATGGTTTAATGTATAAATGGAGGAAGACGGATAGATGGCAAGTGGATGGGGAATGGATGATGAATGAAGATGGGTATTGAACGGATGGTAAAAAATGGATGAGGGATGATGCACAGATAATGAATGGATGGGTTCTAATGGTAGATGGATTGTAATGGCAGATGGATTGTGGTGGATGAACGCTCACTGCTGTCTCTCTACTCTATACCCAGCACCTAAAACAAGCATTGGTACACAGCAAGGCACTCAATAAATTTTTCTAGAATAGATGAATATGGATGGATGGTAGATGATATCTGAATGGTTTTTGGATGAATAATGAATTATGGCCAGATGATGGGTGGATGGAAAGAGTATATTGTGAGATGGGCGATGAATGGATAAATACATGGTGGATAGGAATAAGAGGTGGGTGAATGGTGGGTTATGGTTCATAGAAACAAGAATGGATTAGGTATGGGGAATGGCTGGTGACTGAATTGTAGATGGGGAATTGTGGCTGGCTGGCTGGAGACTAATGGGTGGGTGGTGGATAAATTCAAATAAGTGAAGAGTGGATAGTAGTTTGGTGATTGACAACCAGATATGTGGTGAACGGATAAATGATCGGTAGATGGATAAATAGTTGTTAAATATTGATAGAAAGCTGTTAGATAGTGAATGATGGATGTATAGGTGGTGGGTGGATGGATGGTGAATCAGTATTGGACTAATGGGTACTTTTATGGTGTATTGATGCTTAGTAAATGGGGGTGTGGGTGGTGAATGGATGGCTGCGTGATGGATGGATGGTGGTTGAATGATGGAGACTGAATGGATGGTAATTAGATGGTGGAAATTAGGTGGTGGATTGTGGACGGGGCAGATGTTGGTTTATTGATGGTGGATGGATGGTGGGTGGCTGACTTTGGGTGGTGGTTGGATGGTGATTCAATGGTGGGAGAGCCATGAATAGATGACGCATGCTAGATGATGGTGACTGAATAATTGGACGCTGAATGGTGGGTTGTGGATGTTGGGTGGATGATGGTGACTGGGTAACTGGACGCTGAATGGTGGGTTGTGGATGTTGGGTGGATGATGGTGACTGGGTAACTGGACGCTGAATGGTGGGTTGTGGATGTTGGGTGGATGATGGTGACTGGGTAACTGGACGCTGAATGGTGGGTTGTGGATGTTGGGTGGATGGTCTTAGATGTTGGATAACTGATGGTGGATGTTAGATGCTGGATGGCGGAAGGATGGGCAGTTGTGTGGGTCAGAGGTTATTCACCTTGGCCTCAGGTGTAGACACCAGGCTGAATGAGACTGTCCCAAGGCTCTTTTGTTCCTTTTTGGGAATGGAATCGGGGATGAAGACTAAAGAGGAGCAGTGTGGTGTCGCCACCCCCTCACACGCATTGGCCCTCACACTTGGGTGTTGTCCTTGTCCTCTTCAATGATCCTTCCAGGTGGAGGGTGTCCTCTTTCTATGTATCTGCCCCCCTGAATTCCTAAACCTCAAACTTGAGGCTGGGTCTCAAGTGACCAGGATCACATTCTGGGAGAAGTGGTTTTGTCAAAGGGTGGACGAGGCCGGGGTGCTTGCGACCTGGGAAGGAGAGCTGTGAGGCGGGGAGCCGAGGGGCGCCAGTGTGAATGAGGCGCAGGGCGAGGGAGCGCCTGTGGGCGGAGAGCG